AAAAAAAAAAAAGACGAGAGCAGTCATTTATAAAACTGTGTTATAAACAAAAAGTTCTTATCTCATTGTACCATTGGAAATCTTTCGTCAACATGATACATGCTTCAGAATCATAATTTTACTTGGAAAATTCTAATTGCAAAAATTTAGACAGTTGATGAAAACGTGTTTCTTCTTTTTTTTTTCTTTTTTTCTTTAGTTTCATAACAGTTACTATATTTAGAAAGGTTTTGCCACAAAGCAAGTAAATTACAAAAGCGAAAAAAAGAAAGGATAACATTCTATCGGATATAAAAAAAGAGCCTAAAAAGTCAGATCATTTTTGTTCACAGATATCAAAATCAGTGTAATTCCAAATAAATGTGAGGCAGAATAAAAAGATGTGTTTATCAGTGTTTAATTTTTAATTCACTAATGCCTAATGCTCAACAAACATTTCTTCTTTTTTTCCTCCAAAAATTTAAGCAATTTGTCATCGCAGTAAAGCTCAATGTTTCTGACGATAAATTGCAGAAAAAAAAAAACACTCGCATTTACTCATTGGTATCACTGATTATAATTGTTCTTTAATGAAAGCAAAAGAACGAAAAGTGGTTTAAACCGACGATCGTTTTTACCAATACAAACTTTAACGTTCCTACAATTTATCACAGAAATGATAAGAAAAGGTCACATGAAAAGTTGTGAAATTGTCAACAACAAAAGGTATTTGTCTATGTTTTCTGTAAAGCAACAAGCAACCTTTGCTTTTGGTCGTTTTTTCAATAGTTGTTAAATGAACAAAAACGTAATTGATGTTTCTTTCAATTCTGAATCTGCTCTCTTATTGTCGTTTTGAAGCCATCATCTTTATTGCTTACAAGTCTGTTGTTTCCAAGAGTGCCGGTTCTAGGAATATTATGAACCGCATCGTACTTTTATTTAATTTGATACTGCTGAAAACAGCCATAAAATTTTCTTTCAGCACCAATATAAAGCAAAAAAACCCAACTCCAACAACCAAATAAACAATCAAATTCTGTTTTGCTTTGTCCTTGAATTGGTCTGGATAGTTTAGTTCGTCGGAATTTATTACAGCTTTACTCTCAAAATTCTCTACTGTTTTCGTTAGAAAATTGTAGAACAGAAAATAGTAAAATTAAAGCTCTCCAGTTCTCAAAGCAGCATAACAGAAATGTATCTTCCTTTTCTCTGAAGCTTGATGAAAGCTTTTTTTTTGCAGACTTGAAGTTTAGTGACCTGTTACTGATAGGTATATAGAAAAAACAGATTGTATGACACTGCTCAAAAAATTTTGATGTTGTAAATTCGTTGTCTAGCAAAATACCCTTAGGTGTTCAATGTTCTCTACAAAAACCCAAAAGATTGTTGCTTAAAATTGTTTTGAAAACAGAAAGTTAAGAGGTAATTTAGCAACTGATGACATACATAAACTGTGAATAAGTACAGAAATTTGCAGCTTTATGTTAATAAATCAGTTTAAAAACGAGTACTTCTTTTGGTTTCACGTTTGATTTCTACCGTTTATGTTCAGTGCCTGTGTTCTGTTAAAATATAAAATTTGCTCTACTTTCACCTTCCAAATCATAGTTATTTGTGAAACAAAAATGATTAGAACAACTGAAAAACTCTAATTCATCACCCCAGATTTTTTTAAGTCGCGTTTTTAAAGGCAGTAATAAGTTCGCTCATCAACGTGTACGTTGAATGAATATATCAAAATAAAATTTTCCTTTTTTTCCCGCTTGAGATTTCACTTTTTTCCTCTGCATCTTTTGCTACTTCCAATTAAAGGTTTTCCAACACTCTAAGAGTTCCTGGATAAAACACTTGTAAAATGTTTCTTCAACTTTAACGCGCTGTTCACTAAGCAATAAACATTGCTCGACCTGTTGACAGTTACAGACGAATTCCATATGCAAATCTACGATTATAAATTTCTTCAACGCTGTTGTTTTTTATTGTATTTTTCAGGACCAAAACCCAGTTTAAAGAGTATATAATTTTACAACTTTGACTGTATAAAAACCTTTCCTGTATGAAACTTTTGATTTCCATTTCGTTCACTTTTGCATACTTTTTGAAGAGATTAAGCATCTAAAGTCTAAAACTCTGGCAGACTTAATGTCGTTGTAATCTTGGGTCAAAATAAAAACAGTTGAGCGGTTAAGATTTTACTTAACAATTGAATTACAGTTCTATACTTAAGTGGAAAATCTGGTAAACAACGCTGTGATACGTAACACGTTTGAGCAAAAATTTGGCGAACAAATGTCTACTGAAGTAGACCTTTACAACAGTTTGACCTTTTAGTATCTCTTGCACTTTACAGCTTATTCTCTTGTACCTAACCGGTAGCAGGAAAAGTTTTAATCCGACAATCAGCTAAAGTCAAGGACAAAACAAGATTATGTTAAACAACAAAAAATTAAAAAATAAATACTGAAAAGCAGAAGTTTGAAAAGATATGATTATTGAGAAGATAACTACAAAAGGCAAATAATTAAGACTAGATAAGAAGTAATTGTACGTTTACACTGAATAATTTTGCTTATACTGATAAATAATAAATTTAATATTTGCAGATCACAGCAAACTTCTACCTTGAACAAGAATTATCTAACAGCCAAAACAAGCTTACAAAACGTGCAGATAACTCAAAAGCTGACTGCAAAGACTTTCTAGACGACGAAATCTTAATAAAACATTATCGACATTCAGGAAAAAAAACTAGTTACTGCAGTGTTTTCAAAAGCTATTTCTTCTAACATATAACTGACAAATAAACTAAAAATTTTTTAAAATCATCTATCAAGAACGACTCTGTTGTAAATTGCCATTAACAGTATTTCATGAACTTATGTTATCATACTGCTTCAAAGTACTCAGAGCGAGAAAAACAGATAGAAAATCTTTTGAATAAGCCGACCAAAATCTAAGCAGAAGAAAAAGACTAAAATGCATTTTGTTATATTCAAAGTGGAGAAAAAGAGAAAAGAATTAATAAATAGATGACTTCAAAAATTTTGAAGCTTTTATCAATTTGCAATGTCACCAAATAACGAAGCAACCAAATGCCATTATTTTTGTGAAACTGTCAGTTACCTATCAAAATTTCTTCCTCTTAAGTAAAAAGAAAGACCCGAGTGGAGTAAGCAGTTGAAACTGTGGTCGATCTTAACGAGCTGTTTATATACTGAAAAAACAACAGTGATAAAGTAGTAGGTTTTCTGCAGCAATCAATTTCGTTCATCTTATCTCATCAAAATTAACAAATATTTAGCCAAAATTTTGTTAAGAAGTCAAACTGCAGTAAAAGTCTATTTAAAATATTCTAATAAATGTGAATTTTTGACGCGTAAACGTAAAGCCAAAACCTTTATAGAGGCGATAAACCCTCTTTAAGTTTGGTGGTCCAATCTTTCTAACTGGTTGAAATGGAACGCAGCGACGTTTATTACGATTAGAATAAAACTTAATTGGTTAATGTAAAAATAGAGCCACCAAACTGAAAGACTTGTGCAGAAAACATCCAAAGTACTATAAACCATAAGAGAAGTTGAATTAAAGCTTAAATATTAAAGCGCATAATTAGCTCTTAAGAATTACACACAACTCTAGTTTAAGCTGCGTTGCACGACTAAATCGTGTAAGCAGGTCTTCCTGTAAAATGTGGAATGTTAGTACTGAATTTTGCATAAAACGCAGAGTAGTAGAAGACGAAGAATGACTTATTAAAAAAAGCTTTTTAGTGGGAGGGTTTTAATTTATAAAATCCCAGCAAATTTTGTTATCCTCTACCCAACATTTGATTTATCCGTCTTATCAAAACGTAGTTTTTTCGAGCGATTTGATAACGTTGCTTAACAGAAAAAGAATAAAATTTTTCATTTTTGAGTACAAAATTTCAATGCCTTTAAGTTCAACCATTTCTGAATTTCGTTTCACCTATTACAGATGCTTTTTTATAATGCATCAGCAATAAAACTTGACACTAAAACTCAAGCACTAGTGCGGAAAAGGCGTTTTACAAATGTAATTATGTGTCGGAAGTGCTAAGCAGCCAGCAACAGCTACACCAAAAGTATCTGACAAAGATGCTGCCGATAAACTGAATTCTCGAGTATCGGGTTCAACCTAGCAAAAAAATATTTATAGAAGATGTAATAAATAGTATGCTTGAAAATTATTATTTCGAAAGAAGTTCAAAAATTTAAATACATTGGTAACAGGTGATGTACTTTGGCACTAACTAACAGTTTGTCAGAGTAACCACTTACTTTTGAATAAATATGTTTGAAGGTGTTAACGTATGACGACCCGCCAATAATCCCCTCCAAAAAGATCAACGCCAAGAGGATTCCAATATGAGGAATAAATAGATACTTTGCAATAAAAAAAAAGAATACTGCATTCATCATCTAAAAAATAAAAGACATTACTGAAATACCAGGACTATTAGTGCCTTTCTTTCTACAAAAACCAAAAATTTAGAACTTGTAGACGACAATGGAGTGATTCACAGCAAAAATTAATGTAAACTTGTTACTTATAAAGAATACAAACACAAAAGTTATAAAACATTCAATTACCTGAAATAAAGGCAATAAATAAAGTAGCCAAGATGGCATGTTATAAAACCCAGATGTAGACCGAGAGATAAACACACCACTTTGATAAAGAACCTAAATTACACTTTATTTTTTTTTCCTTTGACTCTCTTTACTCTCTTTATCGCATATACAAAGATCAGTTAGGAAATGAGAGTCTGTAAGGAGAAACAAACCTGATACCATCGATACTGACTTGTCAGCCCCAGGTTTAGTCCGCTGGAGCAGTCAAATATAATGAGTTGCACCAAACCTTGATTGATCAAGTACTCAGCAAAATAAACAGTTGTTAATGGAATCATATACTTTAGTAATGGCTGCAATCGATTACCACTGGTTTTGAACATTAATGAGTTTCAATAATTGATATAATTGAGTATCATAAAAAACAAAGAGACTTATTGAGAAAGTTTTTTTTAGGTTACTGGAAGAGCTGTACCAAAACAATATACAGTCGTTCAAAAGTCGTAAGTTGTCTCTGTAAAATACAGGATTCTTCATTATTGATGTCATTTAAAGTTGCATTCTGCAACTGACAATCAGACGTCTTCCGAAACGAATCTTGTTCGACATCCTGCTTGGCTTCTTTTTCAACTTCGCCTTTCAGGTACCATTGTGGAACTTTCCAAGTACGTGGGTCATAAATTTTTATACGGTAAATGCTCTTTGGTATCACCAAAATTAGGCCGTATCTAAAAAAACTTTGCTATTCATCAAAAAAGAAAAAAAAACAATGATAAAACCAAAAATATATTTTAAGACTGTCAAACAAAACAACTTAGAATTGACATGTATAACAAAAAATGATTCTGAAAAGAAACGTTATAGTTAATATTGCCGGAATACAGAGCATCAGTAAAAGCGCATTTTTTGGACTAAGATGAGCAAAATGAGGTTCTGTTAAACCAGCATATATCAGCGAACCAAAAATACTTGCGCCACCAGTTCCAGACGACCAAGCTGATACAGCACTTCTGAAAATGACAGTAACAATTTGAACCGTCAAAAGTTTCTGTGCATTTGTATTTTCAGTCTTTCTAAAATTGCCTTATTGATTAGTAATGTGTTACAAATAGTTACGAACCTGCCGAAGTAACTGGTGAAAGAGATATAACTCACTTCCCCTAACCCACTGGAGAAACTTGCTAAGACAACTCCTGTAAAATTTCTAATAGTGTAAGATTAGAAAAAACTAAGAAAAGTAAGTGCAGCAAAAAAAATTCATCATTATCTTTTCAGCTTTTTCAATTTATACCTGAAAGCGCCATTGTTATATCACTAGCAAAAGCGACGATGAATAATGCTACAGCTGCACACACCACTATTATACCATGACGAATGCTGAAATTTGCTTGTAAATCTTAAAAGCTAATTAATATTTATCTAGTATTTAAAACAGTAATGCAATTTATAAGCAAGGCAAACTAAATAAAAATAAATAATTTGGAAAATGTCCGTACTCAATTGGTATTTTTTCCATATACAATGGTAAAGTCAATTTGACAAATAACATCGGTAATATATCAGCCAAAAGAATTGCTCCTGTGGATATAGAAGTACAGTGTCGAGATGTTAACTTGTCCTGCAAAGAGAGCTGCTGTCCAGAAATCCAAAAAAAAAATTAAAGTGATAAAGTTATAGTTCCTCATAATATTATTTCAATTTTGCGTGATGATAAAGTTGAATAAAGTTTTTGTAGATTAGTAAAGCCGCAATGTAGTATTACTAAAATGTTTTTGATATCTATCTAGTTTCTCTTTTCAGCTAAATTTTCCAATTTTTTACTCAATAATCGTGTCGGTTACTTCTCTTTCACAATAATTTTTAATTAGCACTAAAAGTGTTGATAACAAACAAATACCTCGCAGTAGCTTGGTGTTGTTGAATTTTGTGGATCATGTTGATTAATGATATCTTCGGCACCGCTAAGCATTACAATATAGCCAAAATCTGTGCAAAGGCCTAGAAACCTAAAAATTATTTGGGGTGTAAGAAAGTCAGTGTTAGCAGATTGTCATACAATGACAGATAATTATTGATCATTAAAACTTAGTGGAAGCGAGATATTCCGATGATTGAAGAGTACAGAAAATGATTGAAACAGCTAACTATATTTTATCAATTAAATATTTTTCATGACATACCAAAATGCAATAAGGTTTCGCCAGTTTTTTTTCTGCATTACTGTACCTATCTTCAGTAATATTACCACAAATTTTTTTTTTTTTTTAACCTGCAATTAATCTAACTCATTATGAGTAACAAAGAGCCACAACAATACT